TAAATCCTTGGAGAGGACTTGCAGTGTCTGCAAATGTCATTATTTCAATCTCACACGACAGCAGCCTTGCCTGGGGCACGGTCAGTTTCCTGTAGAAAGTGGGACTCCATCGTCCTTCAGGTTCCAGTGTCCCCACTGAGGAGTCTGGTGACTTCCTAGCAGGCAAACCTTTTGTTTGAGATGCCCCAGCCCCCGGATCTCTTAGACCCACGGTTGCAGCTCCAGTGACCTGAAGGCTCAGCCAGCCTTGATGCTCAGCACGGACTGGCCTCTTCAGCCCAGCACTCCTGCCCTCTGGGCCTCAGATCTTCTTGTGCTATTTCTTTCATAATTTCTCGGTTCCTCTTTCTAAGCCTCTTAGTTTCACCAGACAACATCGATTTTTCTGATTTTTCGCATCTGATTCTTTAAGAGGATTTCTGAGCAGAGAGGGTGAGAGAGAGGTCTGCACTCTGCTGTCTTAAAAATGGAAACTGAGCTGGCATCGATCTGCTCGGGCTGATAAGAACTCTGACGGGCAGTCACCTTTTTGCTTAACACAAAAGAGGGGAGGTGGTAAGGCCCGACTCCTGGGCCCTTGTAAGACAGACAGGGTATTTTAAAACTAGGCACCCTGGGAGCTTTGGTGGTGAGAAGATCTCCACACATTCGCAGCATAAGAGTGGGAGCACAGTGGGTGGCAGCAGAAGCTGCAGAGAAGAAAGTCCAGAGGGGTCAGATGTGCGGGAGAAAGGGACCCCGGGGGACTGAGGAGGTGGCGGGGGCGGGATCAATGGACAGAACCGAAGCGGCCTGGTCGGAGCAGGGATTTTGTAAACCTCCTCACTAAAATGGGACCAAGATTGCATTTACAGTTTTGGTCACAATAAAAGGCAAACTTACTATAACCAATTAGCATATATACTTTTTAAACTTACAAAAGACCAAAGGCCTTGAGTTCAAAAACACTGGCAGCACTCCTTCCCAAAGACAGACTCCTTGTCCAGCAGGCAGGGTCCCTCCTCCCTGGGAGCCACTGGGGAGGAGCGGTCCTCCACATTACCCCGTGCAGGCCCCTCGCACGATCGTGACTTAAGGACACTCGACTTGAAACACTTACGACGAGTCTGCCTCCAGCCGCACCACGGAGGAAGGCCAGCTTGTTGAGGGCTTTCTGATGGCCCCCTCAGGACACTGATGCTCCAGCTGGAGAAGCAGATGGTGCTTACTGCCAAACACAAGCCAAGCCCAGCCAACAGCATCTCTCAGGTAAAGAAAGGTGTCGCCTCTGAGAAGCCTAAGCTTCAATTTTCTGTACGTTTGCAGAAATATGACCCCACAGGCTCTGGGAGACTCCAGGGGAGGATGCAGAGTCGGGCTTCTTCAGATTTTCTTAGGACGAGAGGCCTCAACGGGGCCCCTGCCACGGCCCTGAGTGGCCCCCACCCCATTACAGCCCAGGGTTCCTCTCCACCCCAACTTACCCACGACCAGCTTCCCAGCCTCCACGGACCGTTCCTCTTGCTTCTTCTTGCAGAAGCTTCCTACGTCCATCTGTCAAACTCCTTTAAAGTCTAAGCCAAATGGCCCCTCGTCTCTGAAGGCCTCTCGGCCACGCCTGTCACACGGTACATGGGCACGCTGCGCCCACTTCCCGACCCCACAGGGGGCCCCACCCCTGCACCCTCCTTAGTACACCCCTCCCTCTGCTGCAGAGTTACACGCCCAGATTATTCCCACCAGCCTCCAACAGAGCTCGCTCATGAAAACAGACAAAAAAGTTTTCAACTGCTCACCTTTACTTTAAACAGCTGCAAGCATATTACAAATATTAACTGCTTAAAATAAAACTATTACGTGGCTCTTCTAAATATGTCTATGGGAATCAAAGCCCTGCAGTGTGATGTCCCTGCCACCCAGTCACAAGGCACACGGACAAGCTCTTCCTCGACAGGAGGCTCACAGCACTGCTGTCCCCAGCGCCGCCTCCCTGGCCCCCACCACTACAGATGTTAAACTCAACGTGATGTATTTGTGCCTGAAGTGACTACTGACCACACTATAATTATGCACATGGATGAAATCAGTCTTGGTTTCCTGAGACCGTAAGTTTGTGCTCATTTCTTCTGGACTGAGTTATCCGTCCAATAAGTGGGCCGCCACTGGTCAACACGGAAACACTGCGCGCACTGGTAAGGGTCACCTGACTGGGAAGCTGTGTCTGAGCAGGTGAACAGGACTTTTCCCCCCAGTCCGTCCACATCTCATGGAATCCCATTCAACTCTATTCCTGTTCTTTGTTTTTATGCGCGTGCAGGAAACCTTGCTCCAGTGACAAGGAACTGGAACAGAAGAGCTTTGTCACAGCAACCGCTTACCCACGACCACGTGCCTAGGGTCTCTCATGCCCTGTGGAGTCACTCCTGATACCCACACATTCGTGGGGACCCAGAGCATCCCACAGCCCACACTGAGACTGGGAATAGGGGTTGCCTTCTGAATAGTGAGAGGGACCCTTCCTTAGGACCGGAGAACTTAAGGAAGATGAGGACCAGGACCCTGGGCCCTGGGCAAGGGTTCCTCCCACCCCAAGGGGCAGTTCGAAGATGACACAGGTACATGCAGCCTTGATTCCCCCGACCACTCCCCAACCTGCACACCTGTTATCCACACCTCCCGGTGACCCCTGCCAACTCTCCAACCAAACCAGCAGCAAGGCCTGCCTCCTCATTTCCCTTTCTGCCTCCACCTAGTTTTGAGGAGAATCTTGTTGGGCCTGGACTCTCCACATGGCAGCCACAGAGTTCTCTCTAAAAGGACACAGATCCTGCTCCACCCCTGCCCAAAGACCCCGTGGTGTCTGCTTGGCTCTCAGGATAAACTCTGAATAGAGTACAGCCCGTGCTGCCCTCCTGCACTTCGCCAACTCAGCTGCCCAAAGCGTGTTACCACCCCAGGTCCTTTGCACTTGCCTTCTGTCTCCCCATGACACCCTCACCCCAGATCTCCACTGAGGGCCTCACAGCACTGGTCTCCATTCAAATGCCCCCTGCTCAGACAGACCTTTCTAGTCCCAGCTGCCCAAGTGTGCCCTCCCCTGCCCTCCTCCATCTGCCATCCTTCCTGCCTTCTTCTCCAGGCTCTAACACTGCCCAGCTCCCTCCCTCCCTCCCTCTGGAACATTCGGTCCACCAGGCAGGGCCTTCTCTCTTCGCTGCAACACCCAGCAACTGGTAGCTGCACACTGATTATGTATCTGTTGAACGGATGGCCAGTGAACACACACACGCTAATGAGCCCTGTGAGAGGGGCTGGATAGCGTTCATCACACATCACAGCTGTGAAAGGCAGGCTGAGAAAGTGCGTGAGTCATTGCTCAGGAGCTCGGCCTCTGAAGTCACATGTGCAAGAAACAGTTGCCTTCAGTCTCCCTTAAATCTGCTAAATGGGAGGAGTGTTTTTCTCCTGGCCTTCCACACAGACGACAATATCAAAAGAATGATGGTTGATAGGTATAGCCTAGGCTAGCGGAGGTCTTTCTCAGACATAATTATTCCCAGAAAAGCTATTAGCCTTGCAATTGGGGGTGATTTTTGAATTTACATATTGGTCTCCTGGAAAAAATAACTCCTCCTCCTGCTTACAAAATGGGATCTATTATTGTAGTCTTTGTTGGCAACTCTTCTGCAAAAATATGAATCAAGGATATCAGGAGAAAAAAACTCTATAAAGGATACATTTTACTGTTTTTCCCTTTCAAAATTCAAACTATAGTTCTATTTCCTAACCATTCACCATAGAGCAGTGATGCTAAGGAAACCCAGAGCAGAGTGGAGCAGTGAAAATGTGGAAAGTGTGAAAACGTTCAGGTCTGAAACAAAATACTGTGTTGGTGTGTGCGTGCCAGGTAGGGGTGGGGGGAGGCTCACTTATAAATACAAAGTGTCTACTTCGCCGCGCTCTGCAGGCAGTTATCACTGTTGCCTTCTAAGACCTGTCACAAAACCAGTTGCTCATTTACTTTCCATCCTTAAAAATACCTCCAGGAATCAAGTTGGTTCTCCAAATATATCTGGTGAGTCCAGATTTTATGAGAGTGTCTTAAGCAAAAGTGGTTTTTGTGGGTTGGCAGCTTTAAATACGTACATGGGTCATTGAGTCTCTGATACACACTTGTTTCTACCATTTTAATCTATCCTTGATGGGGAGGAGGCAATTTCTGAGCTTTTGTGGAAAAAAACCTAACCCACTACATTAAGAGCTGAATAAACACACAATAACTATAGAACTATTAAGAGGTGGGTATCTCCAGAATGCATTTCCACTTTTGTCTTCTCAAACTGACCCTTACCGCGAATACCTGTCCCTCTCGCCAGAGGCCACATGGCCAGCTTGTCCACCTGTCCGCGCCCGGCGGGGGGGGGCGCCCCTTCCTAGCACAGCCACCCACCCCGAGAGCGGGCACATGTCACCTGTCCCTGGATTTCACTACCTCGCCTCTGCCACCCAAGGGTTTACACAAATGGGGCCGAGGGTGCTCTTGGGGGGCCTGGGCAGCTCCATCGCCTGAATCCAGGCATCTGTTTTTCTAACCGCAGGAGCCCGGGGTCCGGGGAGCCTCCCCGCGCGCCCCTGGGGGCTGGGCCCAGGACGGGGAGCGTGACATCACGAGGGACCGTCGGCGACGAGGGCGCCCGGGGGC